TCAATCAGTACCTTTATTTTGTTTTCATTGGCTTCAACTGGCCATCCAGAACGTGGTGCATCTTCAATATTGAAATTGCCAGAACGAAATTTTGTAAACCAGTTTTGGCACTGTCATTCTGTCAACACACCATCTCCATACATGTACCTCAATTGTTTCCTTGCTTGAACAGCATTTTGATTTTTTGGTAATAAAAAAGCAAAATATGCCAAAAATGATGCTTTCGATCTTCCATGTTTGATGGGACACAAAAAATAAACAATTGCACAAAATCAAACAAAATTTTTTACAAATAAGCCTTAAAATGCTAGCTGTCAAAATATATATAGATAATACGATTTAGAATAAAAATGGCGGAAAAAATACGATTAATCCATCTAGTGGTATAAAAACAAACTTACTTTCCAAACAACCTAATAATTTTATTTTATTATTTGCAGTATTTAAAATTTTTAAATTTAATGAAATAAATGTGAAATTTATTCATTTCTATAATAGTTAAAATAAGCTTATTCAATTATACATACCTTTGCAAGCTGAAATAAATAGAAGTGTCATTTCAGCCACCCCTCTATCTGCTAATCTAGCTTGTTGGAATAATAATCTCTGTTTTTCCATTTCTTGTTCCTAAAAATTAAAATTTTATACAAACTATTAATGCAAGAAATTTATTATTATAAAAAATATAGTGTTTCTTAAATAAAATGTGTAAATAAGTGAAGTTATTTATTATTAAGTTTATATTTGACATTCCATTTACCAAGATAAGTTTGTTTAAAAATTAGCATAAATTATTTTATATAAAAATATTTAAAATAAATTTTTATACAAAAAGTCATTTAACAATTAATATAATATTGCAGTTTAATTTCTTCTTCAAAAGCATGCCTAACCCAAAAACAATTTCTTCATTTAATAATTTGAATTGATTTTATGAAATAATAAACCTTAATAATATATTGATATATTTAAGAGATTTAATTATCAAAACGATAAGTAATTAGCTTAAATGCTTTACATGAAAATAAAAAAAACTAAATTTTAAATAAACATGTATAAAAATTTTAGTTTTGAATATTTTTATTGAATATAATTGTAAGACTGATGAATAATATGTTTTTCATTGGATTTGTATATATTTTTAATTAGACTTGTGTGCAACTCAAGTACAGGCAATCCTTTCAAGCATAATATATAATATAATAAAGAAATTACTAGTCCAATTTTTTTTCAATTAGAATTTGAAACTCATAAATCTGACTAATAAAATTAATCTTCCTTTCTATACAATTTTCAGTTTCTGTATACATATCACTGAATATTAATGTAAGATTACAGTTAGAATGAAGAACCACATAAGATTATAATCTCCAAATCTAAGTTCTCATATATTCTTTCTTTGCAAAGTATTAAAGTTTATTAGTATTAATCAATTTTATCATTTCTCATTTAGAAACTGATTTTAAAATTTACAATTAGAGTTACACATTGAGTTATAAATAATGCTGAAAGATATATAAAAATTAATAGTAAATTTGCTTAAACAAATTAATTCTTCAACAAATTCTTCTGTCTATATAAACATCTCAAAAATCCAATGTATTAATAATCATTTCACCAAATATGCCTAATAGCATAATTTCTGCCCGATTAATTTGGCTGATGGTTGGATGATTATTAAATTCTGTCATTTTTCTTCTCAAACAAACAAATTTTTCTGTCATTGCAATCTTCCTAATGACAAATATCTTGTCTTATTCATTATCAAATCTTGATTATATGCAGTTTGTATAGTCCCTACTGTTTTTAGTCTCCATTTCATAATATATTAATCACAGTAATTCATTCTATTTTTTTAGAAATATATGTTAAAAGTTCCACTGACTTTCAATTCTTAAATTTTTTCTTTAATTTTAACTTCTTTTCTAATTTTTAATGTAATTTTTATTCCTTTCCGTAGTTTCCAAATAAGATCTGATGAAAAATGTAATATGTCTATTAAGAAAAAATTGACACATTGCTTAGATTTTATTTAAATCAATGCTCTGGTATTACTATTTACATTGAGCCATCATATTTTGTAAGAAAATATGAGATTTGTTGCCTTTTAGTTAATTCTAATTCTAATTCTAAGACACAGTAAAATTTCATTGCATCAAATCATGTATTGATTCATAATCTTCAGTTAAAAGAAGAAATAAAATTTATTTTATCAGACTCATTACTGACATGATCATCATTATCATGTGCTATACTGCCACATTCATCTTCTGATACAGAGCAAGTATGTCTTGTAAGCCATCAAATATTGTAATTATAAAGTAACTTATAAAATATTTAAAAATATATAAATAAATATTTAAATATTTATTTAGTACAAATTTTATAAAACACACAGCATTAGTAAAACATTCATAAAATTACATGCTTTACTTATAGTATGTGGGGTTCCATCATTCCTTCTTGAAACCAATCATCCAGCAATAATCCACTATACATTGCAAAAACTTTTGTAAAAAGAAATAAAAACAAGTAAAGTAAACTTCTTGCTTCAGTACAAAGTCAGAAAATTCCCCTTGAAAAATGCCATAAGTTGTTTTGTTAATTTTGATCCTCATATAAGTGAACATCTTATTTAAGCAAATAATTCCCATAAGTAAACATTTTAATTTTCCTCACATGCTCTTATACCCCTTTTAAGTAACCAGTTTTAATTTCCTAATTATTCCTCAGACAATAATAAGTGCCTGATTGATCTGCTATTGTCAAATTTTACCTCTGGAAGTAAAGTGAACAAAACTAGCAAGTATGCAAATTTTCTAGAAGTCTTGGAACTGAAAGATAAAAATAGTCAACATTTGTCACATTATAATAGCAATCAGCTTATTATTTGTATTTATAAATGAAGAAAGTATTGTTTACCATAAATAAAACAAATCAAGGAGCCAAGATTTGTCAACAGAACGACAATTTCTTTAAGATTTAAAAGAAAAATTCCTATCATCATCATCATCATCACCTAGCTAGCATTATGAGCTTTTGAGGTTCTATGCTGCAGACATTCTTTCTCCAGCTCTTTCTGTCTGCCACAATAAATCTCCAGTTGAATATTCTTAATAGTGTTAGGTTTTCTGTTTTATTCAACCAACTTTTCTTGTGGCTGTCCTTGAGTTTATTGCATTGTTTGGGTTTGACAGCCAGTCTGGGTGCATTCTTTCAACACAACCCAACAATCTAATTTGATTGACTTTAAAATTCCTATTATTCATGTCACAATCTACAGTTGATGTATTTCTATGAATATATACAGTAAAAAACTAAAATGAAAAACAGCTATAGTATTTTGAAAACACTTGTCTACAAAGAATTTTTGATCCAGTCTAGAATAATAAATGGGAAAAAATATATATATTTAACCAAAATTTAACACTCAAAAAGTAGGAAAAGTAGAGCATGCTAACAAAAAGTAGGATATGCTAATAAAAAATAAGAAAAGTTGGACAAGTCAGAGCCTTTTACATGACATTTAACAATTTCTATATTTNTCTCTCTTTCTCTCTAATTTCCATGAGAGTACACAAACTGGAAATATATGTATTGTATTCCATACATAACACTTCCATACAATACAATAACACTTACTGTTTAGATTGTTTATTAAACCAATACTTTAATTAACTAATTATAATACTTTATTAACAACAATTTGTAGAAATAAGCAAGTAGTCAACCATGTTCAAATAAATCAGAAAGCACACTGAGAATGTATTGCAATCTTTGCATGAAATCAATTTTATTTTTATTGTTAATTTTTATTTATTAAATTTATTAAATGGCTTTTTTTCCTGCTTGCTCAAGCATTAATAATAAATGTTTTTGTAAAAAAATAAAACATTAAAACAGTAAACAATAATAATTGAAAATTTTAAATTTATAAAATACTTTTTAAGTCCTATTTTATATATCCTGTCTTAATCCTTTTTTTATTCAAATTTCTATTAGGCAATTACTTATGAATCCAAATTCAGCATTATTGAATTTTCACAACAGATTGATGAAAACTTAAAATTGTCTTATTTTAAATTATCATATTTCTCAGCAATTGGACCTGAATTGGACACTTGATAGAGTATTGAGTTGATATTCCAAAAATAAATAATTCAAATCCATTAACAGAGAATTGTTTTTTCAATCTTTAACTGCTGATAGTCACCAGATATAAAAACTATATCGCTTTTGCAGAAATTCTTAAACTGTAATTCACAAATCCCCAAGAGATAGCAAGCTGATAGTCAAGGTCCATCAGTAAATTTTAAAATTATTTCTTCAACATTAACAGAAAAATTCTCAAAAAATAAAATCACAAAAATCAAACAACCAAAAATTAAAAATATTATGTGTATTTATGTTAAATGTTTTCTTTATCATATATTAATTAAATATATTAACTAGAAATCTAAATCACATAAAAGTAAACGTGGAAAATCAGCCAAAATCTATCTCATTGTGAAGTCTGTAAGTTCATAAAATTTAAGAAATGTTGATCCAGTGCAAATAAATTTTATATTTGAAATGTTTCTAGGGATTTTAACTGTCTAGAAATTAAGTTAATTTCATAATGAAGTTTGGCTTCATTTCCTTCATTGTTAAAAAGTATTTTGCAAAAAATTATTGTTCATGATAAGTATATTCAATATAAAGCAAGCTAAAATAATTTTAGAATCAATCGATTTTAGAATTACCTACCAATACTTGAGCAAATTTTTTCTTTCCATGTAAGCAGCATAAAGAAAATAAAATAGTAATTTATATAAAATTTTGTAATTTATTATGTCAATACAATGTAAATTTTTGAATACATTGTTAAAAATATATCTTGTAATAAATAGCTTAAAAGAAATTTCTTGTAAATGATAAAAGACATATACTGAAATATATACAAATAAATATGTATCATATATGTTAAATAGTTGTATTTTATATTTAAACCATAAATATCCAGTAACAGATGCAAAATTTTTCAAGGTAATTTAAATATAAAATAAGTTATTAATTTATGTAAATATATAAATGATTTTGAAATATCCTATCTTACAAAGTTGTATACTTTTCCTGAATACATGTTTTGGATTTTAAAAAATAAGTCAATCATCATCACTACTATATATTACAAAAACAAAGTCATGTATGAATTGATGGTCACTTCAGTTTCATTTACTACTGGTTTACAACTAATTTTTATTAAAATAGAAAATTGTTTTTTTTAGATATTTCCAGTTTATCAGTTATAAATAATTCATAGTATTGCTAGATTATTAACTCAATTTTAAATACTTTTCTACATAATTTTTCATATAATGTTCTAGTAATTAGTTGCATTTTTTCCTATGTTATACATGATTTGAAATTTAACTCATAAAATAAATACTGTGTATAATTCTTAGCAATGATTGACAGTGATTCCTCTTGGTGCCAACAAAATAGTAAAAGGAAAAAATAAATCTGATGATAAAACCAAAGTGGTCCTGAGAAATATTTAATCACGTAATGTCGACATCAGTATCTTCTTTATTTTATTATACAGTATTTTGGCGTGATAGTCATCCTATTGATTTAATCATTATTAAAAAGTAAACTTCTTCAACCAAAAGCACTATTATCTTAATAGTACAGAGTTGAAAGTTATAAATACATGACAGTAAGTTTATCATAGACATGAAAAAATTGTCATTATGTAACAAACTGGCTTGAAACATTGTAAAAGCTATCAATAAATTACCAGTTTTGCAAATTATAACCATGTTATTCTGTTTGCAAGAATATCTAATTAGGAAAACAGTTATCCAACTGGCTAATCTCTCTCTCTCTTTCTCTCTAATTTCCATGAGAGTACACAAACTGGAAATATATGTATTGTATTCCATACATAACACTTCCATACAATACAATAACACTTACTGTTTAGATTGTTTATTAAACCAATATTTTAATTAACTAATTATACTACTTTATTAACAACAATTTGTAAAGAAAAATTC